CACAGGAGACACAGGAGGGTCCTGGAGGGACACGCACGATGGAACAGCCATGTCTGTGGAGGGGAGTGCGCAGCGGGTCCGAGGTCCGGGCCAGACTGCGTGTCGATCCCCATCGCCTCCTGTGTGTGCGTGTACGGTCTGCTCACCATCCACCAATGTGAGAGCTGCGAGTGTGGCCGAAACGCAGCCTCTCGTCCTTTGAGTGGGGATAATCCTCCACAGGCTGCTGGCCTTGAGGGCCATCCTGGGGACCCTTCCCTCTCGGACTGTGACGGAGCAGCTGACCCATAGGGACTGGAATCGTGTCATGGGGGACGGGGACGTGCCGTCTCAGGCCGGGCGGCATCAGGGGTGCAGCCGCCGGGGAGAAGTGCAGGGCAGGAGGTCCTAGGAACAGGGACGGAAGGGACCACGGACCGAGACGGCTGGTGCTTCTTCTGCTGTGTCGTGTTTACACCCCAGGAGCCCCCTGCACTCACACTCTCGTGTCCCCTGCTTTACATGTGGGGCCTCAGGTGAGACAGTTTGGGAAATCGCCAAGGCCACTGAGCCAGTAAAGGGCGGATCTGGAACTTGAACGTGGGTCTGTGTCATCCCAGAGCCCATGACTCATTGATCTGCCATCCATGAGGCCAGGCCTGGGTCCCAGGAGCCCTCATGGGGCCCCAGGTGCTGGGCCCCGAGCCTGGGCTCCTGGATTGGAATCCTGGGACTCTGGGAACAAGATCCTATAGACCCGGCAGCTGAAACCACATCAAGTTGTTGTCTCACAGTCCCGGGGACTTAGAGTTCAAACTCAAGTTTCTGGCCAGTGTCTGATGGGAGGGATGCAGAGCGGTGCTGAAGGGACCCGGGGCATTCGTGTCCTGACTTGCTTAGAGGGACCTGGGGGCCGTGTCCCCTGCCGTCTCCGTGCACCTGGTCTGTGCCGTGTCGGGGGGGGTCCTGCACCCAGGGCACGTGTCTGCCCCGACCTCGTCCTGCACTGGGGGTCAGAGGACGGTAACCTCTGGAGGGAAGAGACGGAGGAGGGGCCGGCAGGGGGCTGAGGGCTGAGTCCCTGTCACTCTCCTGGCCGGCCCGGGGCAGGGACGGGGTGACCACCTTCCCCCTGATGCAGGTGCTGAGGGCCTGTGGCCTGAGGGCTAAGTGGTGCTGGGCGTGGGGTGGGAGCCCCAGATCTGTGGGGGAGGCTGGAGGGACTGGAGTGAAGTCCTGTCCTGTAGCATCACCGAGTTTGGACGGGCCTTCCCAGGGGGGATGGGACCCACCTCCATCAGTGCCCACCCTGTCACTTGCTGCTGCGTCCCCTGTTGTCCCCTGGTCCTTGAAAATCAACATGTGGCCTTCCAGCCTGTGCAGGTCAGGACCTGGGGCGAATATGCCGGGTGCTGAGTCCCAGGGCCTCTAGGAATGAAATACAGGTCTGTGTGGAGCTGAGGGAGCTCCGTGGAAACTGGGAGGGTGTGTTCCCCCTCACCCCTGCACTTGGGGAGGGGGAGCAGATCCTGGGGCAGGACGCAGCCCTCCTTCCTCCTGGGTATTGGCCTGAGGCTGCCCTCTATCCTGGCCACATGGGCGACCCCACAGCGCAGCCCCAACATGGCAGCAGGCTCGTCCCAGCAGCGAGAGACAGGCTGTGAGGGAGACGGAAGTCACGCTCCTGTGAGACCTGCTGTCACTGAGTGACGTCCATCACTGTAGCTGAACTCCGCTCCGCAGAGCAAGTCACAGGATGTGGCCCCCACTGCAGGGCTCCCATGGCTTGTGGGCAGTTGGGCCTCTGCAGTCATGGAGGAAGCTCCTCCTATACTTGTGAACTTGACATTGACCCAAGATGTAATCGGTGTTTTCCACCCATGATGTCATCACGTCCAGACTTTCAGCGTCAGAGGGTGAGGACACTCAGGTGAGCAGTTCAGGACCGTGTTCAAGGGGACGCCCCACCAGGACCAGGACTGATTCCAGCCTCGCTCCAGGTTCGCGCTCTGTCCCGCCCCCCGGAGTCCAGGGATCCACCGGGTGGAGTTCATTACCACGATGGGGTCTATGGTTTTCTCCTCGTTCTTTATGAAACACATTCACACTCACACTTTGTGTTTCCAATGCCCTAGGCACCTTCAGCACTGCGGTCAGGAGCTCTGGGGCCCACGGATCTGGAGTGGAGGATTCCAGAAACCTAGTTTCCCTGAAGGGGACTCAAGGAGGTTCTGCGGTGTTTCATGTGGCCAGACGTCCAGAAGTACCTCCTGAAGCCAAGCTGGAGAAGATTTCTTGGGCCGTTAAAAACGAGTCAAACTACATAGTCCTCCTGCACGTCTCTCCTGGGGTGGATGTTCCAGAACGGGTCAACCCCCAGGACAAGTTCAAGGAGAGGCTCCATGTGCTCAACACAATGACCCTGAGGATTGACAAGCTGACCCTCGAGGACAGTGGGTGGTACCGGGCTCGATGCTCCTTCAGCACAGGGATAGAAAATGCCCAGTATTTCCACCTCAGTGTCTACGGTACGT